CCATGATGTTCCTTTGTACTGACGGTATATTTTGATCTTTTGGGTGATTTTCTTTCAAATAAACTGGTTGTATATGTATCTGAAAATTACATGTCGGCTTTCTAGAAACAATTTTGAAAACACGCAGACAAAAAAGTCATGACTGTCTTTACAATGATCATTCCGGCATAGGGACACACCGATAATAAACGGACTTGGTTGATACGATTTTTTTCGGATCTTGATAAACATACGTGATGTCCGTTGCTGTAAATACATGTTTCGTGTCATAATTTGATTGTAGAAATGCTTCAACGAATCCCTTCGTTGGAACATGTTTGAAAGACGCATATCGAAGAAGAATATAGGCATTTCCGACGATTAGATTTTTCACTGTTACAATACCATCCATCTCGGTTGCGGCAGTAGTGACACATGGATCGGGCTCGGCCGACTTAGAAACGGCTAGACAAACTGGCAGTGTCACTTGGTCTTCATCGATAATTCCCGTAATAGCGATGCCATAGGCGATCTAGAATTTGACAACTTTCTATGATAAAGTAATACGAATGACAATACTTACATCTAATGGTATACATCCATCGCTTACATGTCGTTTCATGCTGATCGACTGCCTCGTTGCACTGAATTTGTCTGCACTCATACATCGTTCAATTTTTTCGTCATCATAAAGGTCATAGTAAATGACCTTATCGTCACAGTTATAATCATCTTCATTTTGATAACGTATGCCTACCGCCGGTACAATATGATCATAGTCTTCACAGTTCATGCTCGGAAGAAATATACCGAAAATGATTGGATGTTTACCTAAAAGTGATCGTTTCATCCAACGACAAAACTGATCAAATTGTGGTTGAGGAGCATTCCTCCAATCCCATTCTTCATAAGTGAAGCGAAGTAATGTCAATGTACGAAGTGGGTCTCGTATGTCCTTAGCGGATTGGGGTTGTAACAGATATTCACCTCTGTTTAAACTACGAACGAGATTTTGGGAAATCCAAGCACCATAGTACAAACCTAGCAATAGAAATAAATGTGTATTCAATTGCAACACAGCTTAAAAATCATGGGAAAATGAACTGTGATACATGCACTAGCAAAGTCTCACTGACATCAACTGATGTTTTTTTTACAAAAATGTCACTGTGAAACATACCTATACATTGAAGTGACATTTCTCCACAAAAACCATTGGCATGATCCCATTGAAATCGTGGAGGAATATCAAGTAATAGTGTGTATTGCTTGCGTACGTGTGGATTCTTGTCTGTTGTTTTTGATTGATTCATGTTTGGAACTAAGAAAGTGAAGATAGTTTAACGACTATTGAATATCGAATCTAAGCTCAAATTCCGATCACACAACGAAACAACAATATATATCATATTAGACTGCATGTATTCTTTCGTCTAGTCTTGTAAAGGTTACGTCATTTTTTTCCAATGACTCATGATTGAGGTACATAAGTCAAGCGGCTCAGGAATATTTCCATGACGTTGATAATTGCATAAGACCTACAATTTGTGGTGAAACATTTCTCCAACATGCACTGCTGAATTTTATAGTGTGGCGTAGTCGCACACTCTTATCTTCTTTCTTCTCGTTCTCTTTTCATATCTATGACACTTATTATTTTTTTTCTTCCTTTCGCTATGGTATGAGAATGAGGATGAAGTGACATTTCCAATATGACGATTGCTGATTGAGTCTGTCATTAGAAGGTACATCTGTAAAAATGACAAACAGTAAGCTTGACTAGGATGAAGGTAATACTCTAGGTGGGGAACAGAGTGAGATTTCTCTGCAACCTTCGCCCTCTACATTCACAACATTATTTAGTAGAAAGCATTCAATGAAATTTTATAGATCACAAAATAAATGCCAGTGTGCAACAAGCGGATAACTCACTCTCGTGGCAATACCACATTGATTATTCTTATTTCGACTCATCCAGATGTAACCATCGTTACCCCATGATGTTTTCCAGAAACTTTTAACAATATAATAGAGTTGAGTATCCGTAGCATCGAAACCAACAACTAAGGCACAATGATCATCTTGTATTGATGAACATGCTGGTTCATCATAAACACCTGATCGATAGAGTTGAAAGGATGCATGTGAACTGTCGATTAAAAAGCAGAAATTGGACCAATAATAGCAATGGCATAAATAAGAGCCGCTTCACTTTGAGATTGAATATCACGAAAACCCTAGAACATCCAACTGGAATTTTGAAAAATTAATAAATTCATTATTTACAGTAGAATTAACACCAATGTTAGTACGATTGAATCGACATGGATCGTTACATGCTTGATAGGAATAACTTTGTTCAGTATCAATTCCACCATTGACTTTGATATATTGAAAGACAAAATCGATCATACCACCGTTACAACCTGCATTACCAAAACTATCCGAACAATCCACTAAGTTTTGTTTCGAGAGAGAAACTAATGCTTCTCTTGTTTGAGCAAAATGTTGACCTTCCAGTGCACCAGTCGCTGCAAAAGTGTGCTGTGGGTGTGGTGGGTGTGGGTGTGGGTGTGGGTGGGTTTGGATGTGGGTATGGGTGTGGGTGGGTGTGCGTGTGAGGATGTGGGTGTTAGTGGGTGTGGGTGTGGGTGTGGGTGTATGAGTGTGGATGTGGGTGTGCGTGTGGGTGTTTTTTCTTTATCCACACCCACACCCACACTCACACACCCACACCCACACCCATACCCACACCCGCACCCACCCACACCCCACACCCCACACCCACACCCACATCCTCACACCCACACCCTTTTTTAAATTTTTCGAGAGATAAAAGTGAACGCAGCCAGACGCACTCAATTTTCTGAACGCGTCTCCACGCTTGAAAATGTTGCATTCTGGACGCGCACAAACGCATTCCTATATGTAAATGAGTTGCGATGCTCTCGTAATTGAAACGTGTGCAGATGCATTTCTTTAATCTGAATGCGTTTGGACATCCGAAAATGTTGCATTTTGGACGCGTACAAACGCGTCACATGCTCTTGCGTTAAACGCTCAGAAACGCGTTGGAAACTTAAAAATGGTTACATGGGTATATTGCCATCAGAAGATTTAGTGAATAATAAATGAGGAAACGGGCGACAAAAGAACAGAAACGTAAGGATGAAACAAAGGTGTGGGTGTGGGTGTGAGAATTACTATCAGCTTGACTGACACTCATACTCACGCCCAAAACAAAATTTGCCTATTAATTCAGCTTTTAATTGATTTAACTCTTGCATTGATCCATTTCAAATTTCTTCGGCGGATTTGAATGGTGTTATTTTATGAAAAATAAGTTTTTGTCGAATATTTGTAATCATTTCATAATCACGTTCATTTTCTGATGAAACTGAATGTATCTAATCAAGAAAAAATAAATGAAACTTTATTTATTTTAATAATTAATCTTACATAATGAAAAAGAAAAGATCGAAGTATAACAAATATTGGAGTTTAATATGATATAATAAAATCAATAAATGATAAAAGAATTGATGATACATACGATTGCTTCTTACACATTAATTTTATTGATTGAGCTATTCTTTACCATTCACATTTTAGGTCTTTACTAAGATCAATAATTCCTACTTTTACTCCTAAAAATCAAGTTATCGATATAAAAATTTAGTTAATCAAACACATGTACCTAGAGTGTGGGTGTGGAGGAAGACAAGAACGAAACCCACCCACCCCCACTCCATCCTTTGTCTTCTAGTTTATTTCAAATAAACCATAACAATACAATGCATATCTAGTTTTGCAGCTTCAAACAGCTGAATTCAAACTGTGATATTAATCTTGTTTTTCTTGAAATTGTATCTAATTGATTCGTTCTAAAGAAATACTCCAAACTATCTTGGATGCAAGTGGATTGAGGAAACACTGAATACTATGGCAAGCACATCCTCAAGAATAAAGAATATTAAGTGAGTAATATTTCATGAATGGAAGATTCAGGAAAGAAGCATACATTACTCATTTGAAAAGATTGAATCTAAACAATGGAAATAAATTGCATAATACAAAAATTAAGAATGCATTGAATACTAAATTCTCTCTCCCATAATTAAAGATCCCTCATAATAGAAGACCTCCTTGGCTAAAAGTTTGAAAAACGTTTTTCTGAATTGTTTTCTGTTTTCATATCTAAGTATGCCGGTACAAGATTTTCAGCGCTGTCTAATGTTTGGAAGATATTCCCTATCCATTTGAAGAGGATCAGGAGAAGATTGATATTGTATGTTACTTCTTGAATACTGTCGCCCTCTACATGTCATTATATCTTTTATTATTCTACAATCAGATTATACCAGTTTCAATAAAAAAAAAAAAAGAAAGTTGAACAATACGTTAAAATACTAAACTTCGTGTGTTCGTTGAAGTTTTCTAATTGTTAATCGATTCTTCCTTTGCATTCGGCTGTAAAGTGCTGGACTCATATTTTTTGCACTAATTAGTGTTTGAATGAAGCCATCAAAATGACTAAGTGTACTGATAGGAGTTCATAGAGTTTTGTGAAAAACAATACTATCGGAATTGAACGTAATAACTTGTAATTATCACTTTAATTTAATTAGAATCTTATGCATGATTTCAATCAGTATGAATAGGCACTCGATTCGTTGAGAAATACACAATACATCACTTATACAATCTACTTTTTACTCAGATTTCTGTCGACTAAGTCCATATTTGAAACTTGTAATTTGTTTTTCAGTACAAATGTATACATCTCTGCGCTGCCAAGAGTTTCAAGAGATTTATGGGTTCTTTCGTAGACATTAACTTATAATTAACAGACAAAACTTAATATGGTCACATAAATCTAATCGAATAAGCGCTGTTTTGATGATACTAGAAAAGCTGCTTTAAGAGAGTCAAATTTGAAACACGATGTAACTGTTGTTACTAATCACAGAAAAATTGTTTTATTCGATTTATTTTGGGACATATATGTTTATCATTCTTTACTTAATTCTCTCGAATTGCATAGACGAAATAATTCATCTATTCTGATAGAATATTAGTGCTAGTCGGTCTCTGATGAGGTATCAGGAAAGTTTACTGCTATTTATAGTGAAGAGAGAAACGCTCTGTGCCTGGCACGATCTTTGATGACACTCCAGGGTGCCTATCATGGTGTTGAGGAACATGACAGAGGCAGTAGATCGAAATTTCTTCTCTACTACTTCAACACTTCTTTTATATCGTGTTTCATACAACCAGTCATCCACACGAGAAACATCACAAAAGTACATCACGATTTACGATTATATAATCTCATAAACATGCGTTTAAAAAAGAATTTTTTGTGAAAAGAGGAATATAAAATGTAAAATAATTGTTTTGAAAAATTTCCAAAATTTTCTCACGAAACTTGCATTAGAAGATCCGAGGTCTTTTAAAGTAGGGTAGAGAATTATTACTTTTCAAGGTTGTTTCACATGTGACTAAGACGTACATAAAAAAATGACATATTTGCTTTAACTCATAATTTCTCATAAATTTATAACGGTCATATCATACTGTCCTTTTTGTGCCATTTTTAATTAGTACTCAAGTTTCCATTCATTTATTATGTTTAAAAGGAAATTGTCTGTTGTATTAAAAAGATATAAATTCTATTATGTAGGCATATCACTTTTGATGGCGACCGCAGAAAATAAAATATATCATGTTGAAATTATTATTTAATCTACACTTTCGTAAAGTGTTATTCTTTCATGTTCCTTCTTCTATTCATGATGGGATTTCCATTGACACATTTTCTCTTTCAAAATGAAATACGACGAAGATTTTATAAATATTTCAAAGTATTTTAAGCATTTTGATTCGAATAAAGTTTAGTAAAATTTCTTCTAGATTACTAGATCTACAACAAACAAGTGATATTATTGAAACAGAATAACAAAAAGAGATCGATCGAAGACGTAATCAAAACCATCGCACTTATGTAAAAGAATAAAGAGCAAATTAGTTCATGTTTTTATAGGTGAATTTAGTCTCGATCAATTCTGATTCACGAGATTGAAAAGCTCTTTCAGAAAATTTGAATAAATAAATAATACTGTAAGAAAAAAAAATAGCGGACGATTCACCACGAGACTTCCATACGATGACAACTAAATCATGAGTACTTTGAATCTTCTTTTCTGTAGTTCAGTAAAGAAAAATCGAGAAAAGAGATTTGAACAAAAAAAAAGGTAAGAATATGTTCTAACACATTTGCAATTCATATTGTCATTAAGCTTCTTTCCATTAGGATATATCATATGTCTTCATATTAAAACGAAGTACTATCGTTGCTCTAGAATGAAATAAAATAACCATTCACTTATAAAACAGACAATGTGTCATAGTTTTTTCTGCAAAAAAAACCCTAGTTAGTTTCATTTAAAGAGAATGTCGTAGTTTTTTTTTTAAGTTCTTTTTGTCTTGCAACAACATTTTTTACGCATTTTTGTTGCAGATTAGAAAGGTAAGCATGTTATTATTATTATTATCGATCTTTATCTTAATTCCTTGATTCTCTTCGTACAGGAAAAATCTTGATTCGATAAAACATTGTTGAACTTAATAAAACTGTCCAAGTTTCAATTTATAGCAAGATGAATTTTCCTTCAATCATCAATCGGATATACATAATCATTTGTTGTTTTAATGTTCTACTAGCTGTCAGTGGTCTAACGATTGTTATTATTTATAGAAAGCTATGTTTTAATTTTTCTACTCTATTAGTTTGTAATACTGTTCTAGCTATTTTTGTATTTTCCGTTAACCATACAGCGATAGCCGTCTACATGCTAATCTGGGATCGACAAGCAGTACCAAACATTGATGATCTTTGTGCGTTACGTGCTTATTTTCTTCATTCTACCACAGCTTGTATTCAGCATTCATTGATTTTGCAAACAATAGAAAAATATTTGAAGATCAGAAAAATCAATTTTTTTAAGAATCCAATTTGTCAAGTTATGATCGTTCTTGTCCAATGGATATTTGATTTTAGCTTTACTTTACCTGTTTTTCTAACAGGTAATATGGTGAAACTTACTATTGACAATCTATGTTTTGTTTCCTTATCAAAATGGCATCTTCCATTATATATGGGTGTAATAACATTTGTTATATCAAATATAACTCTTACAGTTGTATATCGTCTTTTTGTGAGTTATGTAGGTCAAGTCTCATCAAGAGTCAATGGAAATCGTCAATTAAAAAAGCGTCGAGACTTGAAATTGATACAACGCATCATATTGCTCAACTTTGAATTGTTTTTTGTTGGTATTCTAGCAGTTATTTTTCTTAGTTTGAATATGATTTGCTCTGATCTTTTACCTCGTCATTGTATGCGAGTCTTATTCATGATTGGGCATTTTGCGATGACCTTTATGCTTATCGTTCTCTATCGAATCACACCGAGTATTCGACGAAATATTGTCGATGTGTCAATTTAACACGATGTTTTCGAACAAACGGCACCAATTGAATCCGATCAATGGCAGATATTCATTGCTTTTGATCAAAGCAAAAATACTTCACTGACTATCTCAATCGATATTTCCACCAGAGATGGACGAGCCGCGGTGTAAAACCGCCCCGTCCCGCCCCGCCCCGCCCCGCCGCGGGGCGGTGCTAAAACTTGACGGGGCGGGGCGGTGACGGTGCATGACGAAATTTCGCGGTTTCCCCGCGTTTGTATAACCTTGATTTTTTAAATATACTCAGACCTTTAGAGACATCTTTTAAAAATTTTAAAATTTTTTTACAAAACTAATCAGTAAAAACAGACTTGTTAGCGCAGCTCCAGAGGAGCTAAAATGTGGAAGTCACATATATTTTTTTAATTTTTTGTCCTGATGCCTTATTTTTAAA